CGGAGGTCTTCCAGCAGGTTCTCCCCCCGAACTTGCTAGATGCCACGACTATGCTAACACACTTAGAGAATAACAACTGCCTCCAAGTAGTGTTTACTGAAAAATAACAGAACCCCAATTCACTGCAGAAGGATAACACTTTTATGGTGCTCACATGCTTTGACGAATATGAAATGGAATAAACAGAGTGTCTCAGAAAGCTCTCCTAACCAATCCACAAGGCAACACTAAGAGTGATATTACTGGGTCTTGAAGTCTCTCAAATATCTGTACTATAGCTTTCAGAGACTAACTGGGGAAATGTATTGAGAAAACAAAGGAAGGAAAAGAAAAGGGGGAATTTGCAGGAGTCTGAGAGATAACTGTTTCAGCTTGACTGTTCAGAAGTAGTTGTGTGAGCTAAATCTTAAGTTGCTGGAAATCCATGATCTGTGATAGGGAACCTCTCTGTTGCCGTACTGGTTCCATTATGGTAGTGCAATGGAGACAACATTCTCACCTCAGTGGTAGTTGTAATATCAAAAACAAGACCCTGCCTTTATTTCTGATTGCAACACCCATTTTAAAATTTCCTGTATGTCCCCTTCCAAACTACATCAACACCTAACAGGACTTTTCATCTCGTACACATCTGCACTGCGCTCGTGAAAATAAACACAGGGTCTCACAGGGTTTGTTGAACACACTGCCATTACTGCTTGGCCACAAAAGTGAATGTCTGCAGCCAGTCCTTACTGGGATCTATCACTCTCTGCTAGTGGAAGACTGCAGTAGCAGATTTAAAAAATAATTACACCACACAGTAACTTGTGGTACCCACATGACTCCAATTATACGAAGCAACATCTGTGGCCTGTGCAGTCAGAAAAAGAAGCTTTGACTGAGCTGCAGCTCTGCTGCATCAAGTGAAGTATCTAGTAATAGGTCCTTCAGCAGGAGACAGATACAGCTGGGCACCAACCACCCATTTCTGCTCCTTGGCACCTGGGAAAAAGGAGCAGGTAACGCGGGAAGATGCTACAGTTTTGTGATGTTTAAGCCCTTTTTAGCGAATATTCCATTCTGAGTGATCTAGACAACACCTGATGAGCTCCATTTTATGTGTCCTGGTTTCCAAGAGTATGAAAAGAGTATGTATGCTTGTGGGCAGCTAAAAAACTGTCACAGACCAAATAAGCAGCTGGAGTCGGTGTATCCATAAAGTGATACCACCACAACGTGATGAGGCCCTGCTGCCTCACGGCCAAAGCAGCCTGCTCTCTGCTCTCCTCTCCTGAGGACTCACACCTTGCTGTTCACTTCTGCAGGTGTACTTTGGCATACTTGCTCAGTTTGGTAGGCAGAAACTCTCCAACCATGCTTTCCCCAATACAGGTTAACCTATCGTTTTATTCCCTGTGTGACTCGCTGAGTAACAGCTATCACAAAGCATGCAGAGAAGGCTTTATGATCCTTGAGGAAAATAAATTAGACTAGCATGAGACATTAGTTGTCCACAGATCCATGAATAAGGAAACAGGGATTCCCTCCATAACAGGCTGGAAAGGAAATAATTGCACATATAGCTCCTTCTAGGAATGACTTTTTTTTTTTTTTAATTTTGGTTTTGTTTTTGTTTTTTAAGAACTAGGTATTTTAGAAAGGGAAATTTAGGGGCAAGTTGAATAACAGGGGATGCCATCTGATTTTAATTTTTTTTCTTCTTCTTCAGAAAAGAGTCTTTTTCAATACTGCTTGTAAATGTCTTTAAAACACAGCCAAAAGTAATAGGAATAGAATCAATACTAGCTCTGAACAGAGACATTTTTTCTGTAGCTGCAATTAGCTATTTTCAAAGAGCAGGCAATGAATAATGTATGCAAAAGGGTGGGTGGGAGGATTGCTTAATTTTTCTTTAAGCAGATTATTTTAGCTTGAGTGAAAGACTACCAAGCTAAAGAATAGTGTTCAATATCACACACTGTATAAACAGCTGCGGCTTAGCACATAATAAAAGCTATTAAGAGGCTGAGCCAAAAAACATATCTAGCTATGAGGAGGAGAAAGAGGCAAAGTACCGTGTAATGACAGCCTTAGTTTCACATTTGCCATTCAGCCTTTGAGCACGAGTCCATTCTGCAGCCTAAGATCTCACCTTTCTCTTCATCAGGGTTTTCTAAATGGCTTCAGATGGTATTTTGGCCTTTTTTTTAATAACTCTTTTTTTTTACGTCAGGGCTGCCACATAAGTAGATATTAAGATCCAGAATATGAACTGGTTACACATGCAGGTAATAGGTGACAACAACAGGGGTCATCCCAGCGTTGGCTCTGGGTGGCCCTTGGTGTGCATTGTCTGGGGCTAAGCTGCAAGGAGGTGGAGAACACCAAAAGCTTCGGCTCCGTCTCTTCACTGCACGGACTAGCCAAGCCCACGAAGGGTAAAATAAAAATTCACCTTCCCTCTAATAGGAGAGGAGATTTTCCAGGTCAGGTGCTGAGGCACCTGTTCCCTCTGCTGAGCTGATTTGTCACCTTGCTCCTCTGCTCCCTTCCCCTTTGCAGCACTGGTCTTTACCAAGAGGTTACCTCACACCTGCTCTGCTGCACCAAACTCATGCTGGCACATTTTCCTCTCTGCTACGATTCAGCATCCCCCTGGACTGAGGGCTTGCTGCAGAGTGCAACTCTTGGTTAGAAAAGCTAAAGTCTGAGCTGGTTTTGTGGCAAAGTTTATCCTTGGTTTTGTTTGCGTTTAACTCCAACTCAGCAAACGGCATCAACACAGTAGGCTTTGCATAAGCATATTACCACAGATCTTTAGTTACTACATTTTCCCCCTCTGTTAGTGCACAAGGAAATAAAGGCAGTTTTTTACCTCATGTTCTCCTTTCTGTGAACTGTCAGATACATTTCATAGACTCTCCCTTGTGGAACGGCCCCTGCTGGGATCAGCAAGCTTACTCCTGCAGAACAGAAGAGACACAAAAGGTGAAGTGGACAAAAAGGGGGTAAGTGGGTTTGTGAAGAGGAGTGACATGAGAGGCAGAAGATGAAGCCTGAAATGCCAAATTTTCAGCCACCCTCACCAGCAGACTCTAATGATCTCAGCAACCTGGGAGAAAAACTACCTACTGTAACCCTGGTGTTTCCAGCATCCAGCTGCCTGCTCTTACTCTCCCTTTGCACCCACATGGAAATAAGGGAGTGGAGAAGAGGATTTTCTTCCCTTTTATTTTATTTAAAGAGCAGACAGATGGTTATGCTGTTGCTTACCTTGTAAAGTGATGAAAAAACAAACAACTCTGACTAAAATTTCCAACAGCTGTAATGGGACAGACATCTCTCCCCAGGCAATTCTTACTTAATTAGAATCAGGAAAGAAAAGCAGTGGAGCACTGTCCCAGGAAACAATAAGAACTAGTTGTTTCCTGAAAGATGGCTTCTTGTGCCTAGTATGCTGTCTTTTACTGTGCTAAGCTCCAAGAGTACCATGGAGACAAAACTGGATTTCTTGGCACTCTTAATGTGCCTAGTCCTGTAAAGTGGCTCAAAACTGGGGTATCCAACCTTGAAAAAAATGTAGGCAAATAGGCTCAGTGCCCTTTTCAGTAATGATTTGCAGCACACTTGATCAAAAAACACTGCTCTTACATTACTGCCATTTCAGAAATGTCTTGTCGCTACACAACAAACACAGTCCACGAACCAGCTATTTCACTCTTGTGGACACAACTCAGCCAGCTGTCTTTGCAGATGTGGATTAGCTGGAAATTAGTGGCAAGGATTTGAATACAGTTATTACTACATAGCTGAAAACAAATCTACGGGCAGGTTATTTATATATATGTCTACACAGGAGAGGCTATGTAGACCCCTTGCACAGCCCTGTCTCTTTTCTTTAGCATACGTGGTTTGGTCACACTGAAGACCTCCCATGTGTTGGTGTACACGTGCTGAGTCCCATACCTGGTTTTGAAGGGGAGGGATTAGCTAGGAAAGCATCTTCCACAAATGCCTTCTGGCATTTGTTTGCTTACGGGTCTGTTACAACCTAATCTGTGCACGTTCGTAGTTATAACAGTGCAGGCGTAGGGCAAATGAAGGGCTTTGGTCATGTCACGAGGAGGATATACACACATTTAGAAGGAGCACAGAGGCATCCATGGTAGCAGTAGATGGATTGTTTTATTTTACAAAATCATTACTTTAATCATTTAGAAGGGATTACAGCATTGAACTTTTTTCTTTACAAATTGATATTAATATACGTGAATTAAATGTGACTAGTAGACTTTGCCGATAATGTGCACCACTACGGCATAAGAAACCTGAGTATTAATATCTACCTTCAGCTGCTACTTGGAAAAATGTGAAATCCAAGACTGTATAGCACAAATTTTCAACATTGCTCAGCAGTCAGCACCAGATTTAATGAAGTAGTTCAGATTTCACTTAAATTTAAGAGATATTTTTTTCTCCTATTCCACAGTAGCTCAGAGAGGAGGCCATGGCTCCAACTACTTTTGTCTGCTTCTTGGGCAGTGTGGGATTGCATCCTGAGAAGGACAAAACCACCTAGGTCCTGGGCCACTTAGGCATTTTGCTTTCTCCATAACATCAACAAATAAGAAATGACCCAGCAAAGGAGCAGGAGACAAGGCACTATCTCCTTGCTCAGGGCACTTGCTTTAAAATGGCCAAGTTGTAAGCTGTGGTCTTACATGTGCTGTTGTCCTACCTGAATTCAGAGAAATTGGGAAGGAGTATTCCTGACCGCTGTGTATTCTGCATATCCCCCCATCCAACATTTTATGGATGTGATTTATCCTCACTTTGGATGTTAATGCTGCTCTTCGGTATCATACTAAACCCACTAGGTGGTTTCAGTATGAGACTTTTATCCACGTGCTGAACTTCAATTTGAACATCAATGCTTCTTTTAGAAACCAAACAGCAGTATGGATCTGGTAAAAAGATCTGTCTGCAAGAGCTGAGCTCTCCCAGGGCTGCCCAACAGCTCCCTGGATGCTCTGAAACTGCTTACCGGTGCCAAGGTGGCCTGAAGGGGCCTGGAAGCCTGGCTTCATTCCGTATGAGAAAGACTGAGCAGCGCTTTGCAATTACATCAACAGGCCCTCAATGCTCAGTCCCTCCATTTCTTAGTTGTAAAGGAAGTCAACAATACATATAACAAGGAGATAAATATGGAAGGGCCCTTCTTTTCCTTGGATATATAATGTGTGCAGGTAAAAATCCTTCAGAAATACTATTCTGCTGTCAATTACACATAGTCTTCAATGAATTGGAAGTGGAACAAGTGATTTGTTTTTAAATTATTGTGTCCTCTTTCCTGTATGATGACAAAATAGAGGCTTACTGTATTAAGGTCCCTTTTCTAGGACTGCATGAAAGGAAAAGGCGATGCTGAATTCCATTTCACACAGTGAACGTCTGAGGCCTTGCATGTCTCAGAGAAAGTGGCTAAGAGCCCAGCAATATCCTGCTTAGAATCACAGAATGATTTAGGTTGGGAAAGACCTTAAAGATCAAGTCCAACCATTAACCTAGCAGCACCATGTTCACCATTAGATCACGTCCTTAACTGTTACTTGGGAGAAGAGACTGACTACCACCTTGTTACGGCCTCCTTTCAGATGGTTCTAGAAAGCGATAAGGTCCTCTCGCAGTCTCTTTTTTTTCCAGGCTAAACAACCCCAGCTCCCTCAGCTGCTACTCCTAAGACTTGTGCTCTTGTAGTGAGGGGCCCAACACTGAACATAGTATTTGAGTTGTGGTCTTTGTGGTACAAAAGAATGATCACTTCCCTAGTCCTGCTGACCCCACTATTCCTGATCCAAGGCAAGATGCCACTGGCCTTCTTGGCCACCTGGGCACACTGCTGGCTCTGTTCAGCTGACTATCAACCAGCACCTCCAGGTTCTTTTTCGCTGGGCAGCTTTACAGACACTCTTCCTCAAGTCTGTAGTGTTTAAAAGGTGGCCAAGACTTTGGGTAGAAAATATTTGAAGTCCTTTGGTAGAAGCAAAAAAAGTTTGTTTTGATCAAAGAAAAGGCAGAGTCCCAGGTGTGGGCTTTTGTCCCACACATAAAAAAGCACTCTAACTCCACTTAAACCCACAAAACAACTGTACCTTTAAGCCAACATGACTAGCACTTACCTGAATTGGGAATTACTAGGTGACCTCCTAAGGAGTTGAAGGTCCCAAATGCCGTGCACGATGGGTCAGTTTGCCGAGCAAGGCTCTGGTTCTTCATGTTTAGGGTCTCATTCTCCAGAAGAGACTGTGTAATCTGTGGAGACAGCTTGGAGGAGAAGTCAGAGAGGTCATCCTGGGGAGTGACTGCACCAGAGGTGTTATAAACCTTGATCTTCAAGTTAGGGAGCGGGTCCAGGATTGGAGAATTGGTCATTGGGATTTTATCAGAGACATCATGCAAGGCATAAACAGGACCCCTGTACATGGCTGCAGCAGAAGTGAGGTCTGGAGGCACTGCCAGGAGGTCTGCAAAGGAAATGAGAAGGAACAACCATATGACTTCTCTATTCTGATGACACTGTTCTGAGCAACAATCTGGGTTTGCATTCTGCATTTTGCCTTTTATTCCGAAGGCTCAGATACTCCAAGTCCCTGACCTTCCTCTCCATTTCCATGCATCCTTCCAGCAAATTCCCAGAGGTCGTATTGCCACAGCTGCTTTGGAATCCAACTGTCATACAAAATTACAGCATGTTTCTGCTATGAAGATTTTTCACTGGGATTATTTTTCCAAGGTGCACTCAGATTTCAAATATGGTATGCTTAGCTTCAGGGCAAGATATTTTCCTCACTCAGTAGGTCTAGTTTTAATAAATACCCCCTTCCTAAATGCCGGGCAACATTTTATCTAACTGGTCTAATGACAGCATTCCTGAAATAAAAGGCACAACAGGGCTACAAAGCCATCATGTCCACAACTTCCTGCAGTGAGGGATTAGTACCTGCATTACACTTTTTTGAGATTTGTTTTAAAAGTTTTTCTAGCAAAGAAAAAAACACTTCTGCTAATTTTCCACATGACAATTCTCGTCATCTTAACTCTTACTTTGATTTATTCTTCTGGAGCAGATATGGGGGAAAAAGAGGAACTCTTCAGCTTAAATATGGGTCTTGAAAAAGGCAGCACTACCTTTAGAGTGTTTTTTTTTTCTCGCCAATGAAGTATGGAAATAATAAAGCTGTTATGCACCAGTGATAAAAATGCTCATTATTAAATGATGTTCTACTACAACTTTTTCTACATTGTCTATTGAAATGCACAGTACTTCTCAAACTATTACTTACACCTGTGGAGAGAGAGCACAGGAAAAAAGGCTATTAGTGAAATAAAGGGGAGGAAGATGTGATAGAATTACTGTGTTATCACTCTGTTGTTTCTGTCAGAGCTTTGCCTTTGATTTAAATTTGAGCTGGACCTGTATTTCCATAAATGTTTCTATGTTTCACTCCCACATTTCTCTCTTCAGAAGTTAAATATCCCTGCTTTATACTCTTGAACACATCTGAAAAGCGCCAACATGGGTTTTGAGCACTTGACTATCAGAAACAAATGAACATGGATCTTTCTCCTTTTCATCAAGTGTCAACAAGCATCCAGTGAATATCATTCATGCAGCCCAAGAGACCACAACCTCACCGTATCTCCCTGAACTGATCAAAATGGAGCGAAATGAAAACTAACCTTGCCTTGCAGCCTTGATGTTAACTGGCTGAAATCCCCCATTTAGCGCCGAGGAGTCAATGATATCTGACTCAAAGTCACGATGGTTCTTGCGATAGACAAACAGGGCCACGGCCACGGAAATAGCCAGGCACACGATCACGGCTATGACGATCCCGACGTAGAGAGCAACGTCATCCGAGTCAGGAGCAGCTAGAGGGAGAGAGGCCAGGAACCTTGAAGAAATGTGTGATCCTCACAAGGACTTTCAAGAAAACACGCTTTCATTATTCTTGTTTCCTGCAGATATTTACTACCTTTTTTATAGGATAATTTGAAATCCATTTCCAAGATCATATAACAGGTGTATGCCCTTTTGATGGAAAACAATCTTTGATTTCTCTCTAACTTGTGTTCTAACTCTTTCCCTATCGACTCGTTCAGCTGTCTAGTACTCAGGCTGTGAACTACTAAGCACAACACATTATAGACTTAATCTCCTGAACCAAATTCACTCTATGAAATAAGATGGTATGTCTTAGTGACATAGTGTCATAATACTGGTATTTAGAAGTTTATCTGATACCAAAAACAATATTGTGCGATTTTAAACTTCAGAAGCCTTATATTTTACTTTTAAAAAATAAAAGAACCCAAAATTTCCATTTCCTATGGAATACCTGGAATATCACTATCTCTGAGTTTGTTTTTTTTTTAAACTGTAATATGTCAAGCCATTACTCCCTTTATGTCCATTTGCCTTTAAAAAAATAAACTAGTAAAGCAGACAATTCAAACACTGAATTCTCATCATTGGCATTAACGCATGTGTATTTGGATAAAAGCAGAAGCAAGCAAAACAAAGAATGTGGTAATTTACCAAAAGGAACTCAGATTTATTTGACCTGTCTTGTGAGAAAATGGCTGTGATATTTCTACTAGCCGCTTATACCGTATCATCAGCACCAATTCCAAGCTAATCTCTAGCATCATTATCCACCAGACATTTTTTTTCTAAAAGGTCTGAATATGTGATCAAAATTTGATGTGTTTCTATACAGTGAAGAATCCCAGTTTTAGAAATAGCCTAATGAAAAAAGGAAGTGCAAAAACAAATCAGACTTTTTAGTACCCCATTTTTGTTAGTTTGAAACATTTGAAATCACTTTTATTTTATTTCTTTTAGCCATTTAAGCCAAGCTGCCCTCCAGCTGAAGAGGTGAGAGCTGGCAGATGTAGAAAGGGAGTGATCAATCTCCGTAAGCTCCTGGCTATCAGACCTCCAATTTACCAACCTTGAAGCATCCCATTTTTAACCCAGCAGTTCAGGAAGCAGATCTCTTGAGTTCTGGCTCAAAGAAAAGTTACCCTTCCACCGCCTTTCTTCCATTTGCTAAGGAAATTTTAATGAGAAGATGGTCCATTCTCTGCAGTTTCAGTCTCTGAGTCAGCCTCTTCTCCCATTTCCCTCATGCCCTTATCATTCTGTGCCAACCTGCAGACAGCAAAACACTGCGATTGCTGTCAAGCAAGCAGCGTGTTACTTACTCTGCTGAATAGGCCCCTCTTTGCCGAGTTACACAGAGCTGACCTAACAATAAAGCTTGACTCAAGGAACATCATCAAATCAGCATCCAGGAACATAAAATCAAACGGTAAACTTACAAGAAAATCCATATTCATTCTGGGTTCTCTGTTCAGTTGAAATAGGATAAATGAAACCTTAAAAAGAAAGAAATTAAACAAAAATGGGAACAAAATCAAATGAGGAGAACAAAAAAGTGAAGCATGAAAAATAGTTTAATTAAAAAAAAAAAAGAAAAAAGGAAAAGAAACTGATGGCACTTTAAAATTCTGATACAGCATAGAATTCTGATTTTGCATCCCCTGTCTCCTCCAGAGCCTTACTAAGAATTAATAAGCAGGCAGATTGAATTTCTAAGCCAAAATCGGTCTCGAGTCACTAACTTTGGAGTGCTTAAAGTCTTCCTTTTATTGAGCATAAACTCTAATGGATCTAATTTATTTCAGACATCAAGGGTCATTAGCATATGGAAAGTCTTTTTATCCCTATCCCTGCCATATGCTTTAATTCCCAGGACATGTTCGGTGAGGCTCTAAACAGTTTTTATATTTAATTATAATAGCTTGCTGTTGATCTAATAGAGCTAAAGGAGACCTGTTGTCATTGGTCAGAGGTTAAATACCCATTCGCTGAGCAGAGGCTTTGCAACAAGCCATCTCTCTGCATTTCCTTAAAATTATTTTATCCTATCTTTAATACATGTTCAATAAGAATTCCTTAGGGAGCAAAGAATTTGTCAGCAAACGGTAAACTGAGTGGCTTCTCTTTGAAATCATTACAAAATCAATAAGGCCCCTGAGGTCAGAACATTACTTATTTGAAATCTTTGCAAGCACCATATATCGACAAAATCATAACATAATTTACAGCTGTATTTCTGAATGGATAAATAAGAGATATCGTTTCTTTTGTCTTTTCTTCCTGCAGCCCTGACAGCACAGCAGCCTGGAGCTGCTTAGTTCAAATATGAGACCTGTGAGTTCACTAAGCATCTCCCAGCTTCTTTCCATCCACATGGGAAATGAGTGAAATGCTGCTGGAAAGGTAAATGACAAATCCAAACTAAGCAGGGGAGTCACTGTCTGGGATGGGATTAGAGTCGATGTAAGACAGAAAGTACGTCTGCTCCATCACCTCCCCTTCTGTTCTTTTAAAGAGAATTTCACCCCTTCCCCTTGGATCACGCTTGCAAGGAGCTCACACAGCTGGGGACTCCCTGCAGGTGAAACAAAACTGGAAAATGTGTGTGCCTGGTGTGTGCCTAGCACACAGGGCCACATTAAAGGCAGACTGAAGTAACAATTCCCAGCTCCCATAACCACTGAGCTTGGGTGCTCGGCATCTGCTGTGCTCTACATATCTCTTGCTGCTTGGCTGCAGTTTTTGCTAATGAAGACGGAGTCTATCCCAATCACAGGTGTAGGCATACCTCCCTCCAAAGTTTCCAGACATTAATTATCACATAAATGCTATCTTAACTGAAATACCAGAGCAAAACCAGCTGGTTTTTGATGGTGATGTTTTTTTTCTGAGGCATCATCGGACAGAATATATCGCCTGTAATATCTATTTAAAAGTTTATTTCACAGTTAGAATTCCAGCCTTACAATTCCTTTTAGGAATATTAAGTTTTCACATTAATTTCTTTGGTTCTTTGAGGCAAGGTCTCCTATGTGTACTTTCAACATGCATACAAAATCTTCTGTTAATAACTGCTCTTTGATTACTACTGGTGTACTTGAGGTATTGGCCATAAAGTCAGGTGAGTAACTTCTGAGGGCTTGAGTGAGTGCTCAGCAAGTCTGGGCATGAATTTACAGTGCCCTAATTACTGCCCACTTACTCCCCAGAGGAAATTTCAGCTATAGCCTTATGCCCAGTATTTCCTTTGGCAAGATGTCTCTGGAGAGATCAAGAGGCATGCAGTGGGAAATATAAAGCACAAGGACAAAGTAGAATTTAAGTTCTGAATACTTTTTTGCTCAAATCTCCTGGGAAAGCTGAGGATATCTCCCTGCACTTTATGTACCCCAGCATGTTCATGGGGAAGCTGGCATGGGGCAGCACATGTCCTCTGGCTCTGCATCACCCATGGAGCTTCAGCTCACCTCTGCAGAGCTGAAAAGGAGAGGCTATTCTTCCCTCCATTGCATTTCAGATACTAAGTTTTGTTTTGTTTTGTGCATCAACATTTGTAAGGTTGAGCAGGCTCCCCGGCTGAAGCTAGCAGAGGCCTTACCTTGGGTTTCCAAGCTGGCAACCCCAGATGCTTGCTGGTCAGACATCAGCTTCATTTTCACTTGTAAATTAAGCATGTCTGTCAAAGATCCCTCAAACATGGCAACTACAAACTGATACTTGCAATTTTGGTGGGACTTTTTAGAAGAAAATACGTTGTAAGCACTCCTTTGTCACTCTTCCAAAAGGGAGGGGGCATTGCAGTGGCAGTGGGAAGGGGAAGGCTTGCAGCAATGGGCAGGAGGTGATGGGCAGGAGGCAGGCTTGTTGCCAAGATCCCAGCAAAAGATCACAGGCTTTTCCTACAGAAAGTTAGCTGTCACACTGGTCTGTCTTGACTATGCCTTCAGACAATGAAAAAGGACACTTTCATCAGATAATGATATAAACCTGATGGGATTAGTAACTGAAATAATGAAGAATGACTTCCCTCCTCTCTTCAAAGTAATTGCAGTGAAAAGAGATCTTTTTCTTGTGTGTTTTTCTCTTTTTTCTCCCTTTCTTGTATTAAGCACTGCTTGGCAAATACCTAAGGGACTTCTACCAGGATGATCAACATTTTTAATGAGAGTGAATTTAGAAAGGTGCTGGTGGATTTGACTTGAGGAAGACTGCTGAGGCTGCTGGCTCATACTCAAAACAGCTGGTTTCACAGTGAGCTACTTTCTTTGAGAAAAGTAATTTAAGCTTCTTCCTACAGTTCATTGGGAAATGTATATTTTCAAAGACACTTCTGCTATTTTGTTGTGTAACTTACTGTTGAATGAGTAAAATAGTAATAATCATACTTTACACTTGCATAGTGCCTACTGTTTGAGGTTTTCAAAGGCTTACCAAAAGTAGGTATTTGTTTCCCTCATTGTACAAGTACCTCCCCTATGTCATATCTGAAGAATCAGTGGGAGGCTCATGTTAATACAAAAAAATTGAACCACTGTAATTGCATATTAATTTAAAAAGCGTTTAGTTAAGCTGATGTTTCTCCATGAATTCTACTTTAAATTCCAATTTAGGTTTGAAAATACATTTATTTTCCCTGTGGAAGTGCTTCTGCTTAATGTTAAAGGTGGGCTTTTTTGAACTAAATTAATTACACTGGCACAAATCCTTTGTACAAACGCAGATACATCATTACAAAGGTGCTTTATGTAGACATTGCCTAATTTCTTTCTAGAAAGCCTGAGAAGAGCAATTTAAGCACTTTATAATGATGTAACACACTGGGGGAAAGTGAAGAAGGGTGAATATGTCAGATTGTACTGGAAAAATAAACCAACCCGATGCTGGTATATAGAAAAGACTTCAGCAGGCTTTTTATCAATTTAGTTTAACTCAATTTAAGCACCAGTTACACTTGGCACTGATTTGGGAAATTGTGACCATTTAACTAAGTAGATTGTGAAGCTCATTTAATTAGTTTGGTGCAGCTTGTGGAGGCAGATGATCTCCAAACACTGAAAGTCTAGCCTGAGCGTTCGGGTCCCACACGTCTTGTTCTGGTGTTCTGGAAGTGCATTTGTGCCAGAGGCCACAGGAGACACAATAGCAAGTCTCTGTTGCTGAATGGCCCTGTGTGGATTCATCTGCTTTCAGGGTTAGCTTTGACAAACAAGCAGGCTGACCCTTTCTATAGCACGAATTCATCTGTTGCAATTTTCTTTGGGAGGAGTGGATAAACCTGCTCATAATAAACTCAACTTGGCAAGCTGAGGTAAAGCAAAGCATTTGGGAACAGAGAATCTCAGACCTATGAAAGATAACTGTGCAGAAATTATCACACTGGCTCCCTTTAGATTGACATTTAACAGAGTGTCACCAAAGAGTCACCAAAACAACTTTTCTAACCTCCCTTTCTTCCACTGGGGAAGAATTTTCTCAGCATATTCATGGGCATATGTACACACACATGGTGCTTAGGCTGGGAACTCAGTATCATGACATGCAAATTCTGAAATCCTGTGTTTGATTTAACCTAGAGAGCCATGGGCATATAACTGCCTAGGCCTGCAAACATGCATATTTTAAAGACAACTTTTTTCCCTGCAGTATAGAACACTAGGTCATGGCTTCGTGCAAAGGGAACTTTGTAACTGAATCCTCTTTCTGGTCCTTAACAGAGTTTGCTAGCTTTCTAGTCATGCTGAATTTGTATTAATGGATACCAACTTTGAAGTGAATTGATCAGATTATGAAAAGCTTTTACCCTGTCACTTGTAGAAAATAAAACATTCACATAAGAGACAAAGAAAAAATCCCAGTTTTTAGTCTGTATTTTCCCTATTTTCCCCTCTTTTCAGCAGCTATCTGTGCAAGACAGTGAAGAAGCTGAAGATGACCTTTCTGGGCACTTATTTGCCAGTGCTTATACAATTTGGGTCATATTTTCAAAAATATTTACAATTTTGCTGCAAAGAAATAATTTTATACCAGTAGCTGAAGTAATAGTTAATGATAGATAGTTTGAGACTGTATCAAGATCAGAGAGAACTGGCGACATGCACTTTCAGTTATAAAGTGAAGATTGCATAAAGCACACCATAAATGCTGGTTTCTTTAATGAAACATTTTTTAATCTGGCACCACTTGCTTCTAATCTATAAACTCTCTTTACCCTCTCTATAGGAGTTTCAGAAAGAGCTGAGGTCACATAATTCCATGGCCCTTCTGAAAGCCTAGCCATATGACATGTCTCAGTAACATCCTGTTGCAAAGAACTCAACAGGTTGAGCATAATATGTTGTTACAGCACTTTCCCCCCTTTTGGCTCCAAAGTCAATGCCCTTAAATCACCTATGAGAAAAGAAGAAGGCACAAAGGCATTCAACTGCTGCCTTTCTTTCTCTGCTTTGATGGGTTTATCCAGTGTAGCAACACTGAAGTAGGAATAAGCTCATGCTGG